GGCAGTTGCATACATGAAAGAAATAATGTCACTTCAACAGTACATGTATAAGTGCCTTGGGACTGTTTTTGGAATGATCATCACTTATACTAGTGTATATCAATTAAGAATAAGATGGCATACATGATAATTTTTTGTGATGTTGTTGTTGTTGCGTGGAATGTTTTTGAAACTAAATACAAATACCAGCACACAGCCCTCATTTCTGCCTCCCCTTCATCAATGACCCCTCCCTTCAGACTGGCTGTCCGACACACTAACTGAACTCCAAGGGTACTGCAACAGCAACTCCACAATTATTATTTTTAAAAACTGGATCATTGGATAATGCAATTCAAGAGTTTCCATTTTTTTTCATGCTCAACAAAATTTTAAATTTTATTTTGCTTTAATTTTCTATCTTTTGGGGGCATTTTTAATAAAACAATTATTCCACTCACGCTTGTTGGATATAAGGTGATTATAGCCAACTTGGCACTCAACACCTCGTTGGCTATCTACCATCTCAAATCCAACGTACACAACATACAGTTGGCAAGTTTATTAAACACAAAGATACAGCAGTTATTCTAATTTTCCACAAAATGGAAACAACGAAATCTAAGCAGCTTCATTCAAGCCATACATGTACATGTAACTTTAATGTTGGACAATCCTCATAACACTCCATTGTGCATACCGGCATTAATTATTAATACATGTATCAATAAGGTACAATTAACACAAAAAACAAACCATGTAAGGCCAGGAATACTGCTAGTCATTTCATGGTAATAAACCAGATCAAGCATACTTATTTATTTCAGTGGTGAGAAAGGGGAAAAATAATTAAGGAACACTTCATTCATTGATCTGAGGAGGCATCTGTAAACAGTGCAGAATCATGAACTGCTGTAGAACATGTTGACAGACTTTATCTTCTTTAAACCTTATCACTAAAATATTGCACATCATCACAGCCTTGTGAAATGCATTAAAATGCTCAACAGTGCTTTATGCAGAGAACATGAACTCAGACAAGTGTTCTGTATTGTCACCTTGATAAGATTAGGTCCATCCTTTTGTGAGCCAATGGCAAATTTCTTCTGAGCAGTCTGGAAAAGTAGAAGTTCTCTTGTAACTCCTAAATGGCCTTCCAACAGTGCTTCATCCACAGGTGAACTACCCTCATTGAATGATAGAACATGATCCTGAACAGAACATATTACACAGATGAAAGTGGATCATTATAATAACAATAAGTATTACAACTCCATTCTAGAGAATGCAGCTGAAAAAAAAATGTAAAAAAATTAATCATGTTGTTGACAAAAATATGTATGATAATATATGTGATATGTAAATCATCATATCAATGTCACATACAATAACTTGTCGTTGTGCATTGCACCACACCCAGCAGTGATGCAGACAATGCAGCCAATGATTCTTAATTGCACTTAGCAATTCAGAAGCCTTGTCTAGAGACCTGATACCTCTGATATCACGTAACTGACCCTATATTGCCAAATTTGTGGCCCAATTTCCCTGATTTCAATGCTTCCAAGGCATACTAAAATGTTACAATTATTATACCTAGCTGTACCTTTTCAGTATGCTTTTGCAGTATATCATAGTGGTTCAAGTATATTAAGTGGTTCACGTGGTGTTTTAATTGCATTATTTTGATCTCTTGTAAAATACTTATCATTTATCTGAGACAATATTACACCTGTAATAATTCACCAACAAGCATTTCACCACACTGAATAACTTGAATAAACAAAACGAAGAAAGGTCAATGAACGAAATGGCAAGTAGCTAATCCTGTTCTCTTTGAAAGCATAAAATTTGCAACGAAAGATGACCAAATGAAACTTGGTGAAGATTGGTTATCATTCAAGAGCTTGAAGAGTGAGCCTGTTGTTTCAACATCAAAAAGGACATAATCGACTAAAAATTTATAAGCCATTACTACCCCCTTAACCATCAGTTGAGTCTTCTTAATGCTTAGTCCTTACCATTTCAAACTCTTTAAAGGTGTGTTCTGGTTCTAAGTACGGAATTTTATCATCTAGTAGACCACGACACATGAACCAAAAGATCTCTCTAGAGTGGCAAAGAGGCAATTTCTTAGTATTTTCAAAGGGCCACTTGACTCATCTAGCCCCTGAGGGAGTTCATAATTTATGCTCTGCAATTCCTAATTGTTTACAGGAATAGACCAAGCGAGTGATTTCTAGTAACCGCTATTTACTCGTCTTTACTAGTTTAAAAATGATCTCCAGAATGCACTCTATTTCTATTAGGGCTCTGTAATATATCTATTAGGTGTATATTGAATTTATGTCCTCCAAAAAGTACTGAAGTTGGGAAAAAAGAGTCTTTGGCATTGGAAATCTGGTTCAGGGGAGTTAAGCAGCCATGGAAAACTGGGCAGAAGGGAGTTCCTCCATATTGAATACCCAATACCCATAGCAAGATTAAAAAAGCCAGATCTCCATCAGGTCATACCCTGATTTAGTTTTTTTACCATAATCCAGTGATATGAAGTCAGTGACTTGGTTTTGCAAAATCAGGACAGTAGACAAGGCTTCTGGTAAGTAGCTGTACCAGTGATCAGGGTGTTGGTGTTTCATTCTCTCACATCAGAAACATCTCAAAATTATCATAACCAACCTTAGTCTTTTTTAGCCAGCTTATTTCAGTGTTAAGCATCATTTCTGCTGTTGGCAGGGGACAGTGTGTCATGAAAGCATGTGCAAGTAATCTAAACATAAACAATCAGGGATTAAAATTGAGTTCAAGTTATACCAGTCCCAGTCTACATTAGTATATACCATGCAAGTGAATAGTGCTTTTCACACACTCTGATTGGTTAACTCGGAGGTGAATAGCAATTACAATTCACCTCTGAGCAGCCGGCGCGAGAGATTTTAAAATTTCAGACCCCTTGTCACACATAAACTAACATTTTGGTCTGCTAATTATTCAGCTTGTGTGGTATATACTAAAACAATTATTCACCTCAGTGTTGCTGAAAGTAATGGATATTTACCTTGCCGCTTTGTGGCTCACCAAATATCCACCACTATTCACCTCCACTTCGGTGAATAATTGTTAATTATCTTTTACTCAGCTCGTGAGTGGGTGGAATTCAACAAATCCTGCAATCTGATTGGTCCTGGAGCGGGCAAAATTTTCTCATCCAGACCGCCACAGCGGGCAGAATCCTTCATGTTGATCTATTTTGGTGAACGAATTAGCGNGGAATTCAACAAATCCTGCAATCTGATTGGTCCTGGAGCGGGCAAAATTTTCTCATCCAGACCGCCACAGTGGGCAGAATCCTTCATGTTCATCTATTTTGGTGAACGAATTAGCGATAATTGTCAATCTTTTGCCCTTTTAACACTTCTATACACATGTAGATGATTAATCAGTGCAAGTTTATCTCTATTCACCTTTAAATGGCAAGGAAAGTCACTGTAAGTAAATTCAATTGTTGAGCGTTTTTTGAAGTTGTGAGAATTTGTTTGGCTGTCTGTAGTTTGGTGCTGTAACGGTGCGCAATCCTGTGTGTCTCTCTGTGTACAATTTTAAGAAATTGTTTTTATAGTACAACTTCAAACTATAAGCTTACTTTATGTGAAATTTCACACTGGAAAAACAATTTTGGAGAACTTAACTGGTGAACTAAATGCAACTAACATAAATTAGTATCACCCAACTAGTGGACTAATGCAAATCCTGCATTTTGATTGACTACGCTACCAGAGGACTATTAGTAATAGTCCTTGAGTAGCGAGATTGGCGCAATTGAGTGTGACGCTTTCTTTCGTTTTATTCCCAAATAAATATTTCTTCAACTTGCATTTGCTAACTTTATTATTGCCTTTTCTGCCCGACTAGTTGNTCTTTGTAAAAATTGGCAGTTAAAGGGTCCTATGCTTTTATGAGTTTGCAACACATTTTTATGAAACTTTGCATACTTACTGAAATTTGGCATGTCTCATTAGCATTTTTTGTTTATATAAAAATTAGGAAAAACTGTGCATATTGCGAGACATTGCTAAAAAGGTCCATTCCAAAAAAATCTAATTGAGCATGAAGTGACTAGGAGTATTTTCACCACCCCTGGATTGGATGCTAGTCCATTGTAAGGTTATACCCAGCAATAAATTAATTAGCTGGTGCCAATGTACACCTCTGGGTGAAGAAGAGGCAATGTGGAGCATTTGGGTATAAATGTATCCTTTTTCTCACCAAAACCTGTAGTAAATAAAAGCAATACAAATCAGGCATTATCGTCCTTGCAAATTTAACTTACCACAAGTACCGTAAAAAGAAGTGTAATGAAAAATATCAGTGGCCTGTGACCATGGGAACATCTTGTAGCAACTAGGAAAAATTGCTCTGCTGTGCTGAAGCGGATCGCTCTGACAAAAACAAAACAATCAACATTTACTAGTTTTCTTTTTAAAATCAAAAGGATTTCAATGATAATTATACAAGGCAAGATTGAGAAAAAGTGTCATCCACAAGATTCTCAGAACTAACATTGTTTATACCAGAAGTTTTCATAGAGCGCTACACCTCTATGCGTTTATCACCGATCAACCATAGGAGTCTGAAAATGGTCAGCTGACTTGTTTCTGTTTAGGTTAAAAACTGAAACCCCAACCTGAGGAGCAAACTCAATGCCATTCCCTGTTTTCCAGCAGGATCATTTGCAGTCTAATTTGGGGGAACATTTCCAGTCAAGGGATCATTTGCAGTTGAGGACCATTTGTGCAGCTCTGTACAGCACTCTTAAACAGTAGTAGTGTAAATATTGTTTGATTATATGCGTCACCATTGACAATCTGAATACTTAAAGTTTAGTATCCTGAATCTACCTTATCCTGAATTTCGCTTCTAAGCTGTATTCGATTATTTATTTACAGAACATGCTCAAATACCTGCTTTGACACAAAATAAGGAGGTCAATGATGAAACACTGCCAAGACTTGTCTTTGGTGAGAGTTTCCAAGGCACTTGGACAAAGAGCTAGACAAACACTCAGTACCTGACATAAAATAACACAAAATAATTAACAATTATTCTATGAGTGTGCGTTGGATATGAGATGATAGATAACCAATGAGGTGCATAGCGCTGAGTTGGCTATAATCATCCAACAAGATGGCTATAATAATTTATACAACAAGAGTAAGTCACATAATTGTCTTATTGAAGAACACCCCCAAAATACAGAAAACAAGACTAAAATAAAAATGCCCAAAAAAAANGGGTCTATAGGAGAGCAGACACTAATATTTTGTCAGCTTCCCATCAAAGCAGCTCAATTTCGTAAGCCACACATGTATGCATTGTGGACCTATTTTTTTTTATTAAGGAATTGTAATTAAAATGTCAAGATTTAACTATTTTATTATTATTATTATTTTATTCTACAATTTGTGTGCACAGGTTCAGAACCACATGAAATTTTTCAGAGATCAGAGAGGCTTTTTGAAACTTGGTAAAAAGTTGAATTGTATTTTTTGGACTCCCTCAGCTTAAATTGTTACATGTAGACAGGAAGAACTGGACAGTATGGCACATACTTTGTCTGAGCAGGTCAAGAACAGATTTTTTGAAAATTTTGGAAGAGCATCAAAAGTAATTAGGTAATTACACCTACTTTGGTTTTGGTTTTACTATGGTTGCAGATTGGCTGGGTAGTCTAATTGGTAAGTAGTTGGTTTGGGGAATAGAGATTCCCTGCAGAGTGATGTTTAGCTGCCCCAAAAATACGACCTTAAAACAGTTAAAAGATTCTTTAACGCAGGCTTGATGCTGTTTAACAGCAAGAAATGTAAGCTTACACTTATGAACAAAAACGGCTCTTTTAGGAGTCTTTTAGGAGTCACCAAACTTGCAAAAGCAATGATCATTGCATACTCTGGTATGGTTTTATGAAGTGCGCACCTTTTCATAAACTTTGTGTATTTCTTCATTTGTTGACTGCATGAGGTGTAACATCCCCACACCTGCAGCCCACGACAACCGCTGCACAGACTTAATGGCAGTCAAATCTGGCAAAGGCCCCGAAACCTGCAAAATGCACAATTTGTAGTAATCACAAAGGGAAACCTGTGAGACAATGTCTAGTGGTTATGAAGGGATGCCTTATTTTTATAGAGGTTTCAAAACTAAGGTAAGGTGAAGTCTGTGTCTGGTCAACTGGTCCATATGTCCAAGCTTGTGCTGGTTTCTGTACCATGAAGTAACTAGTAGTATTTCTACTCCTGCCTGGATGGGATGCTGGTCAAATGAAAAAAGTACCAGGTTATGTGAGATATTTATACCAAATCTACTCAAACAGTATACATCCAATTTGAAATAATTTGGGGAAGAAAAAGACGATTAAAGTTATAGAATAAAACTACTCCAAATACCAAAGATTACTTCATTGCCTTTGAGATTCCTATTCTCCTACTTTTTAACAGTTGAGTATTACATTCTCAAGAACAAAGTTTGTGATTTTGGTTAGCAATTAGGGCCACCACTCTCTTAAACGTATCCTGTAGCAGCTTTATGCACTGGTCTGTGCAGTTAACCCACAAAAACATTACAGCCCATTGACTGAACAAACAAGCAAGAAAGCTGGCAAGAATAAATAATTGTCCTAGTTATATAAAAAAAAGCACATCATCTCGCATCGCGACCAAACATTCCACATTTGTGCTGATTTGCACGGTCCAGAATCAAAACTATACACCAGCGAAAGATTGAGAAACCAAAACAAGCTAAAACAGTCTTGCATACAGGTGCTTTGGGATGATGTCATTTGCTTTCAACCCTGCTGCAGGGAGGCCAAATCCACTGGCTAGCCAGCTGGTTTTCCCATAAAATTTCAATCCAGTCTGCATTAGGACTGTATTCTTCATTTCATCGAACATAATTGGACCTTAACAAACAGCTCCCTACCATTCAGCTGCTGTACAAATTGGCTTTTACACTGCAAATGCCAAATTTTGTACTAAACTCAACACTCTGTGGTAAGAGATGTTCAACCAGGTAAACAGGGTATTATTCAAAAAGCTTACCAGGCTACTCAAATGTCCTGCAAGTCTGACGGCCATGTTCCGTAACATACATTCCGTGCCAGGGTTAGGAATGTACTGTAAAGCTTGCTGTAGAATAACTGCGGCATTGTGTGCACTAGCCGAGATTGGAGGTGGTGAACAAGATGGGTCAGATGGTTGAATGGCCTCTGCAACAACTGTTACTTGTGCATAGCCAACCACTGTCAGTAACAACTTGGACATTTTAAGGAGTGTATAAAATGCCCCCCTACATGATGGTAAAAGACAACAATTAATTGTAAAAAAAAAAACAGTTTCCAGCACTTAGATTTTGATGGCTCATTATAACCACTCTTTAACACTTGATGTTACAATCATGGTATTAAAAAACTGCCCAATCATTGGTGAACACATTGTTATCACTTTTGTGATGCAATAGGTTACCATAGCAACAGTATGACCTGCTAATAACACCCTTAATTACAGCTTTAGGGGCTTATAATTAAAAAATGGATCAGTGAAATTCTTTTACATTATCAAATTTTAATAAGCATGATAAGACGGAAGTCTCAGCAAAGTGTTAAAGAAATCTGTGCATAGGCTTCAGAGCCACCTTTAAAGTTTTGAAAATTTAAGGTGGCTCTGAATCCTATGGGTTTTTTCATGTTTTTTTCACGATTTTCTCAGGGGTTACATGCCGTGAAAAATCCCTCAATTTTTCCATGAAAATGCCATTAAAATCCTTTTAAATTCTCATGAATTTACCATGAATAAATTCACAGTTAATATGTCATATAAGTTGACTATGCTAGTAACACTTCACCTTTTCGTTATTGCATCAGCATGTTGAAGGAAATCTGTCCTTGTCAGCATGTTAAGGACACACTCAATGCCACCGCATTTTAAAAAGTGAACCTTCAACAACAACAACAAACAACAACATTGTAGAAATTATTATCAACAAATTAAATTAGATCACGGTACCCATTTTACTGATAATTCTACTTGCAAATGATAGCATCTAATTGTCTGAGCTATCGCACAATACCAGCCATCAGTGTGCAGCTGTTGCATCTTGTCTTAAAAAGATGGCATTTTCTTGTTTTTCCTGAATTTTCAGAGGAAGATTTTGNGCTGACTTTTACCTCTAAGTTATAAAGAACTTGAGTTGAGGAGGATGTAAAAAACATAGCATCCAGTAAAGATGGTGTTTTTGAGCTGTTTTCTGAAGACGTTCGGCAGATGTTCTTGATATTCCCTACAGTTTCAGTATCTATAAAACAAATGACATGTAAGTACAGTATGTACCTGTAAAATTAGTGGCCAAATATAATTTATGACAAAATGAACCCCTGAAAACACTGTACATGAATAGCCAAAAAGGATTCTTACCTGATGGTATTAGGTTCAGTAGCTGTTGAACTCTTTCTCTTAAATCAGGAATGTTATGAGTAATACCTTGATCGGCAAGATCTATAAGGTACTGCATAAAACTGTGTCGTTTGGACAACATCTAGCCAAAACAAAAACAAACATTGCCCAATGACTACTTGTTTCAACATTTCTGGAGAAAAATACATGACTTTCTGTGAATTTCACCTGCATTACTTTTACATACTACTGTACATTAAAGGATGCACTGCTTGGCACACGTACAAACTATGGTGTTAGCACAAAGTACTTTATTCACTTCCTTACTCAACCACATGTAGCTCAGCAATTGCACACCACAACTTATGCAATGAGAGAAAAGAGTCGGATTGTTTCCGGACTCCAATTGTTTCCAGTGGCCAGTCAGAAACAAGATGTTTTGTGGAGTATATTACAACTGCTCTTACCACGCCTGGAAGGCAGTTCTCAGCTTCCAAGTTTGGTCCATCTAGGGCAGCAGGTGTGGAGCCCCCTGATGAGTCTGATGATGAGTCAGGTGATGATGGCATGGAATTATTCAGCGTTCCAATCTTGGCTGTTATTAACTGGAGAAAAACACCAAAAAATAACTTAAGAATAGCACTACCTAGGTAGAGCTGTACAATGTGTGACCTCTCACTCAGTGTGTTAACAGTTCGAACGGCTTAAAATCCTTCGTTTGCTGTTGGTCATCCATTTGTGATCTGTTTGTCATACGATTAAGATCGATAGGATGCTGTTCGAACGGTTGGGGCTACCGTTCAGAAAAATATTCAGCTGTTCGAATGGCTGTTGCTATCTGTTTGGAAAAACATTTATCCATTCAAATGGCTGAGGTTATCCATTTGAAAACAAAAGCAGCCATTTGAATGGTTGTTGCTATCTGTTCGAAAAAATATTCACCTGTTCAAATGGCAGAGGTTATCTGTTTGGTAAAAATGCTCAGCCCTTCGAATGGCTGCTGCAATCCGTTCACAAAAAAAATATCAACTGTTCAGATCTGCAAGACGCTGACGATTTAAGAACCTGGAGAACAATCTGTCCCAGGTGCAACATAGCGAGGACTCTTTGGTGCCTGCTGTCATCCTGTTTCTAGCAATTTGAACTTCTGTTCTGCTTCCTTTTGATTCTTCTTGTTTATATATGAGTAGCTTTAGTTTAATTCTCATCAGTACCGAGGGATCCACTGCAATTGGCTACAATGTAGCGGTATCCCTGCCTAATGAATTTTTATGTAAATAAGTTAAGTATTTTAGTTAGGGGAAGTTAAATAAATAAATTTAATTTACTTTGATGGGTTTGCTGCTTTTCATTTCATTAATGATTCTCCTTTGAATGATTAATATTTTTTCCCTGTGAAGATCCAGTTCTGTATTTTGGCATTAGCTGACAACTTGAATCTGTTACCAAAACATCATGTGAAGTAAGCAATCAATCACTGCTGGGAAGTGAAAATCCTCCAATACTTACAGTCCTGTCTCTTAGTGGCACTTGTGAAATAAGCCTCTTATCATCAGAAGGACAAAGGATTTCTCCATTAACATACAAATCAAGTCTGGCTGCCTGTAGTGACCCCTTAAATCTGTTGAAACAGTATCAACAAAATAAATTAGCCATGCTGTTACATGTCCAACAGTCAAAGCAGTTGGAAGATTTAGCTATGGCCAGCAGGTAGCAGTAGAGTCAAAATCAAGTCAGATTATGTGTGACATTACATGCACATCCCTCCTGGACAACTCCAATTTTTCAGGGATTCCAGCCACAGGGGCATAATGACTATACATATTTAGACATGTACAGACATACGTACCATGTGGTTGTCACAGTTCCATGACACTTGCTTCATAAAGCAATTGGCAAACTTAAGCATCATTTGGAATAATGGCCAAGCTGCTGTGTGTCAAAGGCATGCGAGCAGGGCACCCGTATCTAAGAAACTTTGGCAGCACATCAAGCTAAAAAGTTTTGGTTGTCATATGACTGCTTGTATATAATTATGTTGTGTGTTCACAGAAAACACAGAAAATTTTCTCTTTTGGACTCAAAAATTGAATCCAACTTTCAAGCAATGCTGTGCATTTACCATTTTGCCTTCTGAAGTCCTCAAATTTGCATTTAATCAGTCATCTGAATTCAAAACATACACATGTATAGTTGAAAGACTATGGATCATTAAACTCTACCTCTGACCACTGAATGAAAGTAAAATTTTGAGGTATTCTTCACCAGCAAGGTTTCTTATGACTCCCTACCCCACAATTTCCCTCTTCAGTGTCTGTTAAACATTGTGTGGTGTTTTGTTGTTCCATTTTACGAGGAATGGTAAAGCTACAGCTCATAAAATGACTGCAAAGCCATCTGCAAAAATATTATTCATATTACACTTCAGGGTGAGCAATAACTTGAACAAGCTGAATGCAAAGACTGCATGTCTTTGACATTTTGGATGTTTGTCTGCTTCTTATTGCAAACCTTGGCTTTATCTTGAATGATAATCAATCTGAAACAAAGTTTCTTTAACATTTCTTTCATTTGACCATCTTTTGTTAAGAATTTTGCACTTTAAAAGTGCACAAGATTTGCTATTTGACACTCAAAAGGCAGTTCTACAAGTACATTCCCATCATTAACTTCTACTTTTTTATTGACACCTAAATCTTTTATATGAAGGAAAAGCACAGCCTCCTAATATTATCCACTAATGGAAAAGCAATATTAATGTTTTGGACGATCATTTGAGAAAATGTTATTTTTTGTTAACTCTTAATGGTGCTTTTTTCACTCCAGACAACTTTGAAATGCTCTTGGATCTTAATGGTGCTTTTTTTCAAATCAACGGTTCATTTTTCCTAGCAAAATATTCTCTTTGGTTTATCTAAGTAATGCCCTTCAATTAACTTACTAAATTACTTTATAATTGATGGAAGAGTGTTTTTGTGTGACTGCAGAAAAACCAAATACATCCTGAAATTCAAGGAAATCAGAACAAAAAACCTATTTATAAATATGACACAGAAAGTACAGATCAGTACAATGTTTACTCAGTTAGTAAGACCAGTAAGTAAATAAATTATCTACATGTGGCTTGATTTGCATTTTGTAATCTCTTTTTTGTCCTTTGTTCTTGTTGTTGTTTGTCTTTTTGTTTTTGTTTTTAATGCTGCTTGTTCAGTGCTACTCTCAGGTAATCCATTGATGTTAACTATAAAGCCATGTACTATTTCTTAGCCTACTTTTTCAATGTGATAGATCGATGTAAGCTGATGAATTACATATTTGCTGCAATTAACTGAAGGTTGATAACTTTGTGCTTTCTGTTCAGAACACCTTGTCTCGAATTGACCATCTTCAAGCCAATAAATTGTGGCTAAAAATGTATCATAGAATCACGAAATTCTACCCAATGGAACTTAAATCCTCCTCCCCAAGAATGCATCGGGCTTTCAACTAGTTATTTTTTTGTTTTAAAGAAATAAATCAAGTTTCACAGGAGAGTGTGATGTTGGTACAAATGTGTCAGTGGATCTGAATCTCCAGGAGTCTACAAATTATCTGTTAGTGGATTTGGAGAAGAGAATCCAAATTTGATATCAGATATGGGCTACAGGTTCAAATCTTAGTAGCTTCAAATAGATTACATCAAGGTGAATATTTATAGACAAGTGTATAGCAATGCGAAAAATACCTGCTCATAATCTGTCGCCTTACAGATGCTACAGACTCATTGGTATGTGACCAAATTTCAAAGTCCTCTCCCTGACGACCATGAGATGGGAATCTGACAATCAATGACACATGTCGACCACGACATGACCTGCAGAGTATAAATGATAGATTCAGTTACTGTAAACTGCTGCTTATAAGCCCCTCTGGTTATAGGCTCATGTAACTGTAAACAATATACTAGTTTCAATTATAACCCCTCCTCCCAAACCAACCCCAGATATAAGCCCCCTCTAGATTAAATTGGATTCAATTTATTTTGATGTTTTAAAGCATAATTGCGACCTTTCAATGGAAAACATACACTAACGCTAACCCATTAAATGGGTGAAAATGAACCGATTGTACACAGGTAGTAAAAGGCTTCTTTAAGCAATTTAACAGTTACATAGAGCATTCAAATGGTTCAGGAAACATTATAAATGGATGACTAAAAACGTTTAATGGTTAGGTGAATTTTTCAAACAGATATCTCAAAACATTTAATGTTAAAAGCAAACTTTTCAAACAAACAGCTCCAAGCATTTAACAGTTAAGCAAAACTTTCAAATGGACAGCTCAAAGCGTCTACCATTTAAGCAAGGTTTTTGAACAGACAGCTCAAAACGCTTAAATGGAAAAAGATTCAGAGCTCACAGCAAAATAGCGAAGTTTTAAACAATCTGAAACGATCAAGACATCGACAACAACAAAAACTCCCACATGCAGTTCAAAGCCATTACGCTTTCTTTTCCATTTTTTTTGAACAAGCTCTCAGTCCCTGTTCATAAAACAATAACAAAATCATCCATTTCCTAATTTAACTTTTAACAGCAAAGAATTACTTACAAATGGCAAGCTTCATCTACAATCCCACAGTAAACTACTGACTGTCAAAAATTAGCCATAAACATCTCTGCCAAGTTGAGTGAAGAGTTTGCAACAGGCTCTCTTATCCTTTCCGTAGGATCCAGGCACATTTTCATTGTTGTTCCATAAAATAATGTAAAACTCATCAAGTGACACATTAGTTTTGAAAAAGATGCTTTACTGTGAAAGAAATACGGCTGCACATGCGATATTATGGACTGCAAAATTAGAAGTGGTCATTGCGTGACAATGATGGAATGCCAGGACATGTTTACATCGTAAAAGAAACCACATTCTTTTGACTGACTCGAATGAACAAGAATTCTATGTGGTATTTGTTGAAGCCAATAGACTCTTGATAGTGGAAACTCAATGAGTTGGCCTTAAGAAAACTTCATTTTTTATTTTCAAAGTTACTTGTTTGCAAAAGTAATCTTGGCCACAAAGATGAATTCAAAATTCTGCAAGCTTAGATTGTTGTTGCTTCATGTGGCCACACGCATACCTGCATAAATAGCAAAGTCCATTGAAGTGTTCACAGCTGACAGCCATGGATAGGATGTGACTACATAGTTTTCTCTCCGAAGAGTATGTAGTCAATAATGGATTGAGTTTGCCTGAACAGTCTGATCTGATAGTCTGCCACTTCAATGGAACAGAAACGAATGAATGATAGTAAACAGATATGATGGGCTTATGTTTGCTGATGTTTCTAAATCTTACCTTTACAGACTTGCACCATTTCAACAGATGATAACTTTTTTAATGGCTGGAGCAAGCTACCTTAAATGATGGCAACATTTCCCTAACGGATAGGGCCTGCCGTTTTAATGGACGCTTTAAGTTCCCTAACAAATAAAGTTTGCCATTTAAACGGATGGTAAATTTTTTGCAATGGCTAAGGCTTGCCATTTAACAGAGAGTAAAATTTTGTAAACGGATAAACCTTGCGGTTTAACAGATCGGGAAAATTTCTAAATGGTTTAGTTAAAAGTTCAAATGGTTTTATATTAGGGTTAAACGGTATGGCTAACTGTTAAGATGGTTTTTACCAAGCATTTTAAGGGATAACAAATGGATGACAAATGACTTCATCAGTTTAACAGATAAGCGTCAGTGCAAGCTTTCCCATGTAAAGTCACAATTAATAAACCAGTAGAGTTTATATGAAAAACGTCTTTTGATCAACACTGCTGTAGCTCATTTTGAAACATTTTTTTCCTTCTCCTTATATAGGACCCCCTGGATATAAGTCCCTCCACTTATCAGTCCATCCAAAACCCCTTACAAAACTGCATCAGCCCACCTAGGGCCTATAAGAGACAGTTTACAGTACTTGTATTCATTTGCAACAGGTCTATGTGAAACACACGTATGAGAAATGAAACATACCTTCCATGAGGCAGAATTGCCCTTTCTTCTGCATGTTCATCATCACACTCGGCTACAAACTCTTTAAGCACTGTCAAACAACGCACTGTTTTCTTAGCTTCCTGCTGAAGCATTTCCCTTGGGATCGAACCCTTCTCCTCAATAGGTATATTCTCTGTACACTTATTAGAGAATAAGTCAGCAGATTGACGAATCTGATTGGTACAATTCAGGATAAATTTATCATGGATATCAACCTGTGGAGGTATACATTGAACAAGTATGTCATGTCTGTGAAGACAAGCACTGCAAGTGTCCCTTTCAATTTTGGAACGGTAAATAAAGATTTGCTCACTTTACCATTGACCTTGGCAAATACCAGAGTAAACACCTCCTTAAGGTTTGTATTTACAAGTACATCTCACTGGAGGATAAAATTTTATTCCTGGGCTTCCTTTTACCCTTTTAGCTCTAAATTGCCAGGGCTTTTTTCTGATTTAAGCTGGCTGGCAAAAGTTTCCAGCACTTGTCAAACAGCTATACTTTAATGGATCAATACTACTACTCTTTATCTAGTGATGCTACAATATCGGTAGAAATGTAACACACAAACACCCAGCCATTGATGAACAAATAATGTTATAACATAGCCTGCACGCTAGCCCTATCTAATTCCCATTGAGCCATCAGAAACAAAATCTCTATATATGCACGGCTGTGTGGATATAAGATGACGTGTGCAGTTTCAATTTAGCTGCAAAATTTCCGTCGAGTTTAGTCCAAGTTTCTTTTGTTTAAGTTTCGGCAATGTGAAGATTATTCTGAACAATCCAAACTCTACTTCGAGCTTTTGACTTTTGCCAAGCTAAGATGTTTACTTAAATGTGAGTATTTTGACTTTGTTTGTCTACATTTTCATCAAGTATTTTTGACTTCGTCTTCCTTCATTTTCATTATAATTAATTCGAAGAAGCGAATTTTTCATTGACAATTTTAGAAACCAGGTTAAACGTTTTTGCTCAACCGTTGTTCAAATGATTGTGGTGTGAGGATCCTAATGACCTTTGTTTTCTTCACGGTGCATTGTGAGAACTTTGTAGTCAATCACAAATAAAATATGTTTTAGCNCACTTCTCCGTTTTTAGAAACAGATGGACTAAAAATGACTTTATGGGCCCGAAAAGTTTCCGGGGCTTTCGAGAAATGGGTCCCAGTTCCTGAAGTCCTGAGGGTGGTGGTTATAATTATACAGGTTTGACTGTAGCTTCTAAACTATTAGAAAAAAGTGCCTCAAGTGCTGCTTTTTGATAGGAAAATGCTTAGCTAGTTATTTCTTGTTTATTTTGAGTCAGGATAAGACAAAAAAATGGCTTTTGTGGTTGAGTGGATGCTCATTAAATGGCCATAATTGTAAAGTCCTATGTAAACAGCACAGGAAAAAAACATTGAAGTCCCCAAACATTTTAGGTTTTTTTTGAGAACTTTCATTAGCGATTGCTCTCACTATTCACATTAGAATAATGTATATTTGCTGTTGCGCATTGCAGATATTTGCCATCAATTAAATGCTATTCCCAACACTACAGAATATGCCCCTTGCTTAAGATGGAACCACGGAGAGAAATCAAATTGCCTAGTTCAAATGATTATCTGTGCTTTGAGACTGATAATTGTAGAACATGATCCAGTGGATTTTGTTTTCACATGGCCTTTCCTGTCGTAGAAATACTAAACCAAAGAAAGCCAAATATGCACAATTTGGCGTCAAATAGCCATTTTTGTAGGGGGTCCCCTAGCTTGAATGGAATAAAATATATTGATCTACTTTTTTCCATGATCATTCACTCACCAAACCCAACATTTGTGCCAAGTTCAATCAAAATCGGTGATTTAAGCTGTGAACTATGATGTCCTGTCTGGTTCTGCCTGGTTTTCTAAGAATACACTCTTGAGTCAATATCAACCAAGGATACATACCTTGTTGTAGTCCAATGTCTCAACCGCAACCAATTTGGTAAGTGTTTTTATAATTCATTTTCAACTGGTGCTTAAATTACTACAATACTTAGACCAGAAGTAAAGAACTTTTAATCTAGTTTTCATGGTCCATGCTTTATCCTCATTTACCCCATGAAAATAGTTGAAAGCTAATGCATTGCCAATTTTCATGGGTCTTCAAAAAGCCATGAAAAGGCCATTAACATTACTCGTGATCAACTAATATTTTAATATTAATGGTAATAATGGTTTTTTCATGGGACATGAATTCAGTACACTGTTAACAGTGCCCATGTACCACCAGTTCTGTATACCTGAGTTGCCCTCAGTTTTGGTCCTAGAGAAGTGAAGGTCTCTTTGAGTAGTTCAATTGCCCTGCTAGCAATATCATCTGAGCCTTGAAGCACAACCTGGAAAATTAATTAATATAGCCATGGTTGTTGCCTGCAAGAAAACTTAAATCTTAAAATCACATCAGGAAATGTTCCACAGTTTATAGTTCACAAAAGCTTTTGACATGAAAATGCAGTTTTTCCACAATATAAAGTAGCTGTCTGCTTTTGCTGTTCAACATTGATTGAAAGGACGCGAGGGAGGGGGGGAGGACGTAATCAACCTCTACTGAATTTTAGCACATTTTGTTTTTCTGGCTTTGATTCGCCTCGATTTTGTAACTCTTTCCAGTATTTGAAGTCACAATCAAATCCTTCAGATTGTAAGCCAGCTTCCTCATCACCAAAAGGAAAAAAGGAAAAAGATCGGGAAACTGGTAAAGAGCATGTTTACATCAGCTTTGTGACGTGGAACACAACATGTGAGGTCGACTGAGTGTTAATGAGAAAAGAGAAAAGCTATGTGATGCTGTACAGCTCTGTCAACTAATTTCTTAACTTCCCACTCTTTTAAAAATGTTTCAAATTTAGGAGGAGGTGGGGTAACTTGGATGAGTTTTGATTCAAAAGAGAGTTCAACAGACTGGTGCACATTTACAAATTCAGTGAACTATGGACTAAAAAAAAGTACTAATCCGGAAAAAAATTTGCTCCTGTACAAAAGGACTTTCATTAACATCCTGATTTGAAAATTTTAACATTGTTTCCAATCAATTCCTTTATTTGTGTTGACTGTGACTGGTTTTGCAAAGCAAGTTAAGATAATGTCATTTGTTGTAATGTATATTAAACATGCTACATTGAAAAAATAAATAAAGACACTTCTATAAATTACTATCATTGCTCACCTGCCACAAGTAATCCACTCCGATTAAATCTAAATCTTCCATGAGGTATGCTCTTCGTTTGACTACTAGTTTACCTTCTTTGATATTCACTCCTCTGAAGAATCTTTCAAAACATCTGATGGAAACAAAATTATGTTAAATTCTATATAAGAATTGGTAAGATAGTATGGAGTTCATGGAAAATGTCTCTAGATCAGTAAATTAGCTAACTAGTTTTCAAAGACCAATGCAGAGGTCCTGCTAGAGTAAATTCTGACAGGTGACATGGCTCTGAAATGGTGACATGAAGGAGCTACAGTATTGTGCAAAAGTAATGTAAGCAAAATGCGTGGATTTTGTTGTGTTTCCGTGATTTTTCGATGAAAGTTTGCTCAAAAGTTTGATTGAAATTTTGTGGCCTGTTGAGCGATAATTCACTAGAACAAAGGACTATATTTCTTTGAATTTTCCATAAGTTAACGAAAATTTGTAAACACTAACGATAATTTGCCAGCCAGTACACAAAATTTTGTACGGCACTGAATGGCAGTTTGCCAGCATTCGTGCAATTTTCTTTTTGCGACTGATCCATGCACGAAAAAACTGTCATGTAACTTACACAAGATAAATTTTGATACACGACTGTATTTGTTTGCAAATTCATGCCACAGAACACGGTATACAGTCATCAATCGCCGTCTAAGAGGATAACATACAGTGTTATCTATGACATACGTTACTTTGAATCTCACATGCCTAAAAATTTGTGAAAGGTTTTCACGCAGACTCATTCTCTTGAGTTCAGTTTCATATGCAGAGAATTAGAATGTACTTAACCCATTGACTCCCCTACAGCCCGTAACCACTGTGAAAAGCCTTGGCCTTTGTTCCACTTCTGACGTCATCACCTTTGACTAAAATTGGCATGATCTATACTCAAGTTCTACAGGAGGAAAAGATCTTTCCAATGATACCCAGATCAGAGTGATCGGCTCAATGGAGCCTGAAATATGCACAAAAATGCTCAGGAATTTGAGTGAAAAACTCAGAGCAACATTTCCCGCAACAAGTGGCTACTCCATGGTAAAAATTGCCCGTCTCAAGGATGCTTTCTCAGAATTTTTTGAACTGGAAGCAACCCCAGTAGAAGGTCAATCACTGCAGCAAAAACAAAAAGAAGAGGAGAAAATGGACAGGTAAAAAACGAAAAACCTAAAGATTTCTGCGCATGCCCAAGCAAAAATTTTGCAAAACACGATGCTAGTGGAAAGAAAGGCATGCTGTCTTTGCAAATGCCGTTTTGAGTAAATTGGAGCTAATTTGGCCCATATCCAGCCTGAAAATCTCCAAAATGTCCAAAAAAATAAGTTTTTGGCAAAAGCTCTGGGAGTCAATGGGTTAAAGTATTATGACAACAACAAGCTCAAGGATGCACTTTGCCAAAAAACTGTTCGTGCTTTTCATTTTTTGTGCATATAAGATGCACTCCTGTGCATTAATGGGAACTCTGGTAGAGTGAGGAGGACCCCATGTTTGCGTCAGCATGTGCTAGTTTGGAATCAGGCAAAACACCACTACCACGAACTGCGTTCTGTTTCATTCTTTCTTGCCATTAAGGTGGCTGAACACAGTTTTCATGTGCCTGTGCCTAATTCACTATTACTTTTAAACTATTTATGCTTTGGCACCCATTTTTTGCAAGAGTCAAGGTTGACCACAGAAGGGTTTATTCTTGCATTTTGGCTAAGGTGTGTGCTGTTGCCATGGCAACAGGGCTGGTTAAAAACAAAGCTTAAAAAATGGTTTTTGCTTATTTGAAAAAAAATCCAGTTGTTAGATTTTTTCATCATTTGCCCACTATGAATTGACATTAAATCCCTTCTGTCAATACTGTTCTAATAAAATTTTGACATAGACGATTTTCATAATTTGCCGTAAATCATTTTCACTGCATGTTCTGTATTATTAAAAATTCTCTATGTCAAAATTCAGATTTTTTTGTGATAGATCATCCATGTGGTTTCTAAACTATTTTTTTGGCCAAATTTCGTGAAATTCTAATGACTGGATCATTAAAAATCGGCAAGTTTCTGCTAAAGCAATTGGTCTCAATTTTTTGAGCAACTGCGCATGCGCTGCATTTAACTGGGTTCTTTGCATCGTTACCCTTTCTAATATATCTTTGTAATGAAAGAATAAAGCCATCAATACACTGCGTTCAAATATGGAGAAAAATAGCACAGATAGTGTGGGGTGTTGAGTAAATAAAATGATCGCTAGATCGCTCTATCAGTGCTGGAAATAATTTTTCTTCTTTAACAGGACATGTGTCCTTTCAAATCTTCATTTTGGTCGGACATCTTATCAATTTGACCGGACATTAATTTGCATAATTGATTTGCATAAATAATTAGCATAATAAAATTTATTAGCATACTATAAAGATTTTCAATACAAATCATTCAAAACTGCATTTAAATTTGATTCATTTCTCATTTATGATGATTAGATGACTTTATCTAAGAGATATGAATGCACCAATTTCTCCTGGTTATCTCCTGATTTTATGTTTTTCAAGCAAACCTAGTTTTCTATTGAATGCTACCATTAAAGGGACACAGTTAGCTTTGGGACCGTGTTAACCTAGACACTAGTTTTCTCACTTTGAAAAAAATTTCACCTCAACCTGAAATCAAACTACATCCAGGAATCCGCTTCAATCTTCACAGTGTTTTGCTTGATAGTTTTCCAATCGTTCACTGAAAAGCCTGTTTTTGAGTGTGCTTTTGCTCATACTATGATATTATTTTTATCATATTTGATTAAAAGCAGTATGGATTACATCTCTGTGATATGCAAATTAGCTATGAAATGGTATCTAATATGCATGTGCTCCAGCTGACTGTGTCCCTTGAAAGCAGGAGCCCATCACTAGGAGTGTGCAACTACCCCAATTACTCCTGTCCCGGCCTTTTCATAGACCCATCTATTTTTAGTTTGAATTTCTTGGGAATTCAGACCCCCATTTGAAGCCTCACGGACGAACAATTCTGCTTTATGATATGGCAGGAGCCCATAGTGGGCTCCAGGATATGGCTCAAAATTTCAGAGTCAAGGGCCCAAAATTTAAAAAATACTTGAGTATCCATTTAAACACTAAGTGATAAAAATCAGGTAGGAATTTTATTCAGAAAAGAACTCAATGCATAAAATCTGTAAAGAAAAAATTTCCAAGACTTTTTTGGCTGCTAATGTTGTATACGTAGCTAATGTAATGTCTGAAAGATTCATGCATTCCAAGAGACACATTCGGTAGGCATACATGACATACTTAATGCTTGAGGGTTTGCGATGCATTATAGGGCAATTTCAAACACGATCAGCCATTTACAAGTTTTCCGATGTGAGGGAATCCTTTACAACAAAGCAAAAGGATAGATTGCTTTCTTTTCTTATACTGAATGTTATAGAAGCAAAGATCTTTGACTATGTATTTCTGGAAGGACATAATATCTGAGAAAATAACCGTTATTGATCATCAACACAGAGAAATGTAATCGTCATTGTGGTAGTCTGTAAATGCAGACGTATTTTCGGCTGCTGACTAAACCAGAATTTTTGATGGCCAAAGATGAAATTTTAGTCGCATTAGCGACCGTACTGGTCGCAATTTTGAGCCTTTGAACAATGTATCTAACTAAATTTTATGGATGGACAATAACTTGGTGTTGGTGAAATGTTTGGACATCGTGTCCGATCATAATGTGAAATTGGCCGGACATATTTAAAATTTGGTCGGACAATGTCCGATGACCAACTGTTATTTCCAGCCCTGCTCTATTGACCGCATATGTGCGCATGCTGAATTGCATAAGCAAAAGCGCGCGCGAAAACTGCGTTCGGCCACCTTAAAAGACAATGTTTCAGTAAAAGTGGAGATGATTCGGAAAGGAAAGGGGGCCTCAAAATTGCTTCAGGATTTACTTTCTGGATAGGTGATGCTGCAGAACCCGGTCATACACATCTGACCATCATCACATCATGAGTCAATAATTATTTTTCACTCTGTCCAGTTACAGTTGCTAATTTATGGAAATTTAAAGACACTTTTTCTGATATTTTTACTGACAAGTTGTGCCCCCAGTTTGAAGCAATAATTAATTCTTTTAAGGTTAAAAGAACTGTGTATGGAAATTTTTTGGCCATTCACTTGAATCTTAACAGCAGTTAATTTACCATACTGTAAGTTATCAAATACACGTGCAACAACTTATTTGCTGTCAGAGACACTTGACGGCAAACTTGTTCCGTATTACAAACCTTATCCCATTTTCTGTTAACAGAGATGGATCTAACTTGAGGACGTTGCCCTCAAAAAATGATCTGCTGATTTCAGGGTCAAGGTCTGGTTCATCACCCATTAACTGCAAACCCAAAACAATGAAATATGTGAAGAGAGAATGCATGTACGGGAAAATGACAAGGATAGGAAATCACAAATTTTGGAATAGCTGTTAATAAATTTTCGAAGGTTTACAATTCCAAGAGCCCAAAGGATGAGTGCAGTTTGCAGTCCTTGAAAAATGTACAAGTATTCATTAATTCAACATTCAACAAGAATAATCATGTGATTACTTGTTTATAATACATTTGAAATGACACTATCTATTGCCTTAACTTTACATTAATTGATTACTTTGGCAACAGGCACTGTCCTTGGTCTTTCAAATGTGTTGGGAAATTTCTTAAAATGTTGTGATAAACTTCCAATTTATGTTGGAAAATTCTTTGAAAATTTGCACGTCATCTCTGGCAATTTTTGGGTGATCTTACAAACTCTGAAAATCATCAGAAGGGTCCGATTAACCTCAAGTACTGTTCGGAAATGTTTAGGCAATATTCATAAATCTTTTGACATGTTCAGGTTATCTTCGGATGTGTTTATTTGCAAATCTTCTAATTTCTTCAGCTATCTTCAGAAGACTTCAGGTGAACTTCAACTACGCTTGAAATACCTCAGATGACTGTCAGCAGTCTTTGAGTATCCTTGTACTCTCTGTTTTAATTTGCATTCAGGTTACACTTTTCTGCACTGGTTTTGCAGAAAAGTTGCACTCCCTTTTTAGCCAGTCAGAATTCAGTAATTTTTTTCAAGAGGGTAATTAAGAATGTTATTGTACGTAATTTATGGAAATGTAGACTCTACCTTTGAAAACCACTTGAAGCAACACTCTCTGTCTGATGGTAGAACAGCTTTTTCTGCAAGACACTGCCAGATCTACAGTATAAAGAAGTTGCTTAGCCTAACAAATACTATTCAAAATAAAATCTTAAAAACTCCCCACTGAGCCACATCTGGAAGTTTAAAAACACATTAATTTTTTATTTACCAATTTAGCCTGGGGTTCACACAACCACAACTGTCCATCTTTGAGAAGAAACCTACGGGTAAATAAAAGCTTAGTTTTAAGAAAATGTAAAAATTAATCACACGGTTCAAACATTAACTGTAAATGCAGAGGTGATTGTTCTGGATTTTCTTGTCAGTAATCAGCCAGATTAATAATACCACAAATACTGGCATATAAGCAACACCTTTTCACTCAAAATTTTCATTGCAAATTGGACATGGGTCTTGTCTGCAAGAACATCACATGTCAATGAAATTCGCCCACTCCTCACCGTGGCAAATGTAAATCAGTCTGTGGTTTCGTCTCTGTCAGCAGCTTTGCACACAGCCACATCCAACTTGTCTTTGCCTGTTTCCGCCTTGCTAGCGGCCACCTCTAGTGCTCAATTACCAGCTTCAGTGCAAACTACATGTAATACAGGTAGGCCTACGGATCCTACAGCCNCACTGTAATCAAGAAGAATGGTTGAAGGAACTCAAGGACACTACTCCCGCCAATGAAGCTAAAGGACAAAATACAACAAGTGCTAGCTGCACAAAATTGCTGGATAACAGACATGATTCCGAAACTTCCACAACGAGAGAGTCAGGCGCAGATGAAGATGTAGACAATGTAGACCTCAAGATTTCCTCTTTTTGGCATTACAACACATGGTTTCAAAAACTGTCTGAAGAACGAAGAGGCCTAAACTCAAGCAACATAATACCAATGCTGCTGCCAAAGTCTTCTAAGTAAAAGAAATCACGGCAGTTTAAATACAAACCTGTATAAAGCCCTTGGTAGTTTGTCGCTTCTCAGACAATTTCACTGCGACAGATTTCCATGCCAAAATTGAAGACGTCTGTTTACTTCAAGTTGTCATAACCCAATGTTGTGGCAAACTGACCCATGCCGACATGTGTCAGTCTGGAGGGGATTTTTAACACCTAATCATACCAATCTCATAAAAGGTTTTTCCTCTTTTTCTCAACAAAATAAAACTGCATATAAGGATGAACATTTTTAGTTCATTTACACACATCTTCCGACAGAATTGGCTGAAAATCGGCAGGTGTGTTCCAGGATACCTTCTTCGAAAAAGGGTGTCAGGCTTTGTTTAATTTCGCTTCCATTTCAAAGTTATGGCTTCTTTAGTGCGATTTCCAAACACAGTCAATCCACCTGCCATGATACCTTAAGGCAGATGATGAAACTGAACCAATTTACTGTCTAACTTGAACAGAATTTTTGAAAAATTGATGTGCTAAAGAATGAAAGAATGAATGAAGAAGACAAACTCTATCGCTCTCACTATGGATTTCGTGAAGAACACTCAACTTAGCATGCAATTATTGACATAGTTCACACTATCAGAACAATATGGACATGGAACCTTGTGGAACACCAAATGTTACTAAGGTTCTTTCAGAGATATGTGGACCAACTTGTGTTGTTTGTGTCTGGTCTTGTAAATAAGACAAAAACCATTTGTTCATTATTCCGTGAAAACCATAATGGTTAAGTTCATCACGTAATATGGCAAGATCTACTGTATTGAACACTTTCTTTAAGATATTAGGCCCATTACTGATTTTATTACCCTATTAGTCTATAACTTTCGATTAAAAATTTTGATGCTTGTAAAGAAACACAAAAGGTACACACTTAACCATTAGATGGGCTTATATCTGAGGGAGCTTATATCTGGAATAATATCTTTGTTAGCAAATAGAAGGGCTTATAACAGGGTGGGGGGGCGGGGGCTTTAACACAAGATTTTACAGTATTCACTTTCATTCTTCACCATCCACAGGTATATTACAAACTCACAACATGACCAGCTCCCAGTTGTCATGGGTTGGAATCCTGTTCAAGCCTGCATTTATTTCAGGCTTTAATTTCACAACTAATTAAGTTGTGTGTATAACTGCCATGATAAATCATGTCCTAAATAATAGTATTTTGTTTTACCTCATAAAAAAGAGAGCAGATTTCTTTGATTTGCTTGAGTGCTGGTAGAACCCAAGTATCACTACGTAGCTCTTCTATACAACGATCAATCCATTCTGTTTTTTGAGAATCACGGTCCTGCAAAAATCCACAAAAAACATTCAAAACAATGACGCTTGAATGACAGGGGTGCTCATCGAACCTTTTATTATAAGTATAATAATAATAATAATAATAATAATAAGTATAACTCCATCATCATCGCAAGTTAATGAATTACAATGAGGTTACAGGAAAAAAAGGAGATAAAATTACATACAGGTTTTTACGTAAGTGGTGACTGGGTTACAATAATCTATACAATAATTATTAATTTACAATCAATTCCATGACAAGCTAAAAATACAAGTAGCTTTATGTATATATAAATATATCTAACCAATTCAAAGTAAATATATGATTATATGATTTCTGATTTATGTTTTCGGGGTTAAAAATGCGGTTTTCGTACCTCTGAGTGTGTTTAGCCTCAAAAGGTCCAAATTGGGAGCTTTTGCGGTACCGTTTAGGGTATTGAGCCACAATATGACAGGAGCTAATGTGTTATGTAAGAATTGGTACCTCTTAGGGGAGAAAAAATTTGAAGCCAAGCCCACAAAACAGGACCTTGGTACCTTGTAGGGGTTCTTTTCAAAATTTCTGATGAACACAGCCATCTTTTTTACATGGGAGTCCCCCCCTCTGGGTCTGATACAGCTAAATATTACACAACTGTGTATGGCAACATGTTTTTGTGACAGTAATTGGGAAAATCTGCCGATTGCCATGACTAAATCACCTGTGAGCAACTGTAGTCCAGAATCTTGATATGTGCACTAAGAGCTAGGTCCATGATGTCAGTAGGGACATCTTCACTATGAGCAAGGTTCCACAGCAAGCCCAACACCTACAAATATAAGATCATTAATCATCAGCATAAAATTTATACCTTCCAACACAAGACACAGGCTGTACTGAGAGAATATTGGCCCCAGGTCAGCAAAGACAGAGCACAGCAAGGTCCACGTACAATCTACCTGCACAAAACATATGCCTGCACCACACCACCTCTATGAGCAAAACTGGTCAATACAAAACGTGAATGAAATTATGTCAAGAGCTCCTAACAATGCTCCTGATTATGTATATAATTTTGTCTTAGAAGGAGGCAATGTGGCGGAGTAGTTTGGGAAACTACAAAAACAAGACACGCTCCATGATTTCTGTGTGTGTGTCCTTTTTATTATTATTTTGTTGTTCCAGCCTAGGACAGGAGGAAACGGAATGAATAAAACAAATCAAATAAATAAATTAAGACTTTGTTATATGTTTCTTCATCCTTAATTTAGTAGATTTTACTCGTCTAACTGGTCATTGAGGTAGTCCAGAGGGTAAAAACACATACAAATATTTGTGACCTGATTAAGCGAGATTATGGCCCAATTCAGGCCATAATGCTATTTTTGTGGCGAGAACTGCATGAGACAAATCAAGACAAGGATTTTGTCTCTCTAGTATGACAGGACAAGACATTTGTCTGGCCTGTTTATTGCCAATACCATGGCTTCAACTAGCATGATAGAGCACAAACCAAATTAATTCGCTTACACTGCAGTACCGAGACAATTGTCAGACTGTGCTATCGTTGTAATTCTGTCTAAATTCATTTTACAAGTACGTAAAATTCGGACATGACATTTGTCAGGCCTTGCTACTTGCCATAATCTTGCTGATGGGCATGACACCTCATACCATAAAAGTTTCAACAAAACAGAACACAGATACCCTTTAAACTATGTGCTTCCAATTGCGCGATTTTCTATACACTGCAGCTGCCTACACGACAAAAAGCTCTCTTTTGACAGTTTCCTCATACTTCTAAAAGAAAAATTAAATATACAAAAAGAAACAGCATTTAAAAACAACTCTTTTATTGCTTTCCAAAAATCCTTTCAACATCTTATTTAATATGCATTGGTGACGTGNTGAAGAACAGCCCGAATAATTGTTTTGATTAAAACAATAGACCTTTTGAAAATTCATCGATCTTCGTACAAAAAGTTGTTTCACTCGAAATTTCTTTATATTTCATCGAAAAGCACTGAAAAGTCGTGAAAAGTACTAAATTTTGTTTGCATTCGTTTTGCACAGTACTGTATTTGCTGTAATTGCAATGTTAGGTAGTTGTTTGTAGTCATAGGTAGAGGGTAATGATTGCTGTTGTATATAGCAGAACTATAAATAGCCATCCATTTCAATGCCAGGTATTGTATTATTTAACCGCTGTCACATCCTGTCTCACTCATTAGCGTGACTTTTTTATGGCCCAAATTTCACTGGTTTCTTGCTCAGATTTTTGTCCAAATCTCAGGGCAGTACAAATGTCTCACTCCTTTCTCATTCACTGATAGTTCAAGTTTAATCGCTCCTGTTAGGTTGATTATCATCACGTTCTGTCTCGCTCATTAGCATGATATTTTATGGCCAGAATCATGCCTCTGTCTCCCTCATGACATTTTTCGAATGGAAAAATGCCATGAAAGTCAGTTTTTAAGTATTAAAGCTTCTGACCCCAACACTGAACTGAAGTCCACTGCTTTGTTTTGCCTATTAGTTTGTAACAGCTGTGTACATGTCATCAGTCATCTTAAATGTTATCACAAACTTGAACGAGGGAGTGTATTTGATCTTGGCAAACTTCATGCATATCACAGATATCCTTTCTTAGCTAGCAGAAGCAATATATTAAGATATCGCTTTGAAGTACAAACATTTATGATAGAACACTATGATTGTGATGATCATCAGTCCATGTGTAGGGTGGTCAGTAGGTTTAAGAATTCATTCATTCATCAACTGGTGGCATAGAATAAGTTTCTTGTCGGGACATATTTTCGTTATAAATCAGATTTATTGTTTGGAGAAGTAATTCATTAGCAATTAGGACACTGCACAAGACAAACACAAATTTAAGCGAGAGGGATTCCTTGAATTAGTTCACTTGTTTAAAACTGTAATGCATCATCTAATGGTGTAATCAGTACCAATCCCCTTTAGTCCTCAGATGTACTTTTCGGTGCTGTTGTTTCACGGCCATGATTTGCGCCCCTGCATTGCTTTTTGTCGATGAGTCAAATACAGGGGAATTGTCGTTCGTAAACGCACTCAGTTCATAAAAGTTAAGCTCTACGAAAAGTTTGTCTCTGAAAAATTCAGCTGAATTACATTTATTTCAGAGCAAGCCCTGTGAGATGTAGCTCTTGAGTTTGAATTTTTTTTTTCATAATAGTGGCCAGTTGAGTGAAATTTGGCTTGAATCATCCTTTCGAAAGAAGATCAGCATCCACAATTAATAAGTACATTTTATGTAAGATACAATTATTAATCTTGGATTTTAACAATTAGACCCGTCAATAGCCCACAAGGCGAAGCCAAATGGGCTATTGACCAGTGGCCCTTGAGGGTGAAGGGTCTAATTGTTTTAGTATCACCCAACTCGGACAGTTGGGTGATAGTCGGACAGAAAAGGCAATAACAAAGTTAGCAAATGCAAGTTGAAAAAACATTTATTTGGGAATAAAACAAAAGAAGGCATCACACTCGATTGCGCCAATTTCACTACTCGAGGACTATTACTAATAGTCCCCTAGTAGCGTAGCCAATTAAAATGCAGAATTTGCATTAGTCCACTAGTTGGGTGATACTAATTACAATTATTAATCGTAAGAGATGCATTCTATGATTAATAATAGCAAAGTATCACCCTAACTATTAATGTGTGCATCTTGCCATTAGTAAAAGTGAAAATTTCACTCCAGAAATAAATAAACACCTGTTGTTCATGATTTCAGACCAAACTGCACTCTACTCAGTTCAATTACCATTACTAAACAACCATAACCTATGAAGAAGCTGTGAGGCAACATGTGATGCGTTGTGGTGTCAAAAAAACAAATCTTGGAAACCACAGCGTGAGGAACGACAACACCAACACAATTTAAAAAGTGCAGAACTTCCAAAATACTGGTGAAAGAAAGAAAGTTGCTATTAAATATGTGGACTATCTGAACAACTTTTGTTCACCATTTGGCTTGTCTTACTAAAACATGTTTATATTCTCAATTATGAACTTCCCTCTGATTGGATAGTATCACCGCTTTGTAAGTGGTTCACCCTGAAACCACAACAATATCATTTCATTTCATTTCTGAGGAAATGAAAGAAAAATACTCACCTTGTGTGCCATGATACCTTCTTTATCATCTTCAGCCAGGCGTCTTATCAACTCCAGTAGTTTTTCTCTCTGCTTTTTACTAGCATTTGTCCAGCTCTCCTGTAAATTATAACCAACAGCATCCTGAGCCTGACCACTCTTGCATAAAATTAGATGCAAATAACAGTAGCAACATGTTGATTTGCTACACCCATTACTCAAACTGACTTTAAGCCACTGAACTTGGAAGATGTATCGCCTGTAAACAGTACCTATTTAAAGCAGCTGCTGTAATTTTTTAATGCAATATAGGTCTTGTATCATGTTATATAATTATTTTTATTTTCCTGCAACAAAAACAAATTCCAAACTCAGCAGTGTTTTCATTCATACAGTATTGTGCAAAAGTAATGCAAATGTATTTTGCCGAAATTCACAGCTTTTCTGGGCTTTTTGACAAACAAATATTGAATTTTCTGTGGAAGCCAATTTTTGAAAAAAAAGTCACGATAATTCGTGACACCTAATGCTTCCAACTACACGAATTTTCGAATGATAGGTCACTCCGAACAAAAATTGATTTGAATATTAGCTCTGTTCAATAATTGATTTCAAAAATTTGAGCAAAATTTCACTTTTTATTTACTCTGCTCGAACAATCCCAAACATGGACAATAATTCGCCAAGTTCGAATTTGACACGATTCTTTTCTGCTGTCATTTCAATTGTTCACACAATGTGCAAGCTTTACGGCAAACTCTTGACCATTTACATAACAGTTCTATAAGACTCACTGGATATACTTCTAAGGTTCCTTTTACTGTTTAGTTCATGTTAAAAGCATCGCAGTTCTTACACAATCATTCTTATGCATTTCTTGACTCAAGTTTGTAGGACACATGCCGACACACGCCATGTTTTCGTAACCCAGACTCTGTGCAACTTCCTTTTTGTATCACCATAGCAACCGCCTGTGTTGTTAAACACTGGAGCACACAGGGTGTCCAGCAGCATGGTTGTTCAGACAAAATAAATAAGTAATGGTTTTTTTCCCCTTCGATTTACAGCCCAAGCGCGAAGCGCACGGGTCAAAAATCGAAGAGAAAAAAACCAGGATCTGTAGCTTACAGTACAGATGGAGAAAACAAGGTTAGTAAGACATTTGTTATATCTCTACTGTGTGCCTGACGGGTTTGGAAACGATTTCTATTCACGCAGAACAGCTTAAAATTTCTGATGCACCTCGAAAGCAAAACAAGTCAGTTTGAAACTGTTTTTAAGTCATTAGCACGCTTTATTACATAATTTAGAGTATNTAGCCCAGACCTGTTGACTAAGACATATTTGTTTTACAAAAAAAATGACTCCAAAGTAATTTCTGTCATCTTTCTTATAGAGAGTTACATGTACAACTAACTATGACAGTTTACCTGAAAGCAAGAGAAGAGATGGTCAAGTTGCTCAGCAGAAAAATCCCAGGCTAATTTGGCCAAAAGATCATGAATGTTCTTTACAATTGCATCATGTTTTCCAGCCTGTAAGGAAAAATAGGGAAAAGTTCAATCAAAGCCATCAAGTAAAACAGCCTGTTCAAGCTATCAAGAGGAAACTACAAGGTAAGGTAGGAATTAGACTTTTAAGCAAAAGAAGTTACAACTATCATTCCTGAGAAAGAAATTACTCAAAGCAACTGTTATATCGCTTTTTTGCAAGTCAGTCTTTTGTTAAGGTTTCTGCCAGTCTTGCTGATGTAGGAAGCCTGGCAGTCAGAACAAGAACAGACTTGTAAACACCTCTCTGTCCATCGTTGGGTTTGTCTCTGTCTTTAATGTTGGTCAGCAAGTGTTGTAGCCAGTTGAAAATTGAAATAACTGGGGCATATTAGGGCTGATCAAATAACCACTGACTAAGTAATAATAATAATATGACCCTATTCTCCCTGAAGAGAGCTGGGAACTAAGAGAAGTAATAATAATTTGGATAATCACCACTTTAATTTATTATGGCATCATTGGAAAAAGGGTGTCCAGCAGCATGGTTGTTCACAAAAATAGGAATATAGGTAACTCACAATTTAAATAAACAGCATGCCATTCATGCAGAAG